TATCTTGGCATTAGATCGAGTCATTCAACTACGGTAAGCGAGTGATTTTAAAACTGTGTTAAGATTCCATAAGCGTTACCATAAAAATAGTTGGTTAATAGTTGAAAATGGACATCAAATAGGCACATGTTGCCTTTTTAAATTAGAAAACGAGTTCTCTCAATTTGTTTTCTATAGTAATATTATAAGGAGATGATTGTTTGTTTGTTTGCATTGATTAGGTTCCAAAACTATTGAAACGGTTCTAAAAGATCTTTTACTATAGCTGCATCAAACGGGGGTGATAAATATGAGGTTATAATTTACGTTGGTGAGGTCGCAGGAAAAATGTTAGTGTAATATAATTGGAACTTTTCAAACTTTCGTTCGTTATCATCGCTTGAATATTGAAATATGTAGATAACTTAAAACTTTTACTTGAGATAAAAGCAATTTTACGGCGAATAATATTATATTAAATACCTTCTATTTAAGTCTTCTATTTAAGACCCTTGAAATCGATTTGACGTCAAATGCGTTGTTTTTAAATATATTTACGATGAAAGCAAATTTTAAATAAGAATTTGGCAAATAAAACGTTTAAAAAAAGAACTAAGAATTCACGTCTCACACCAATTTGAATTTCATTCTACAAAATTTCCATCCTAAACTTCCAAAGAGATTGTTTGAAAATGGAATGAAAAGAGGTTTTATTTTGCCAATAAAAGGTAATAGCGAAGCAGTGACGTGCCGGGAAGCTATTAATCTAACCCTACAAGTGTGTAACATTATTGGATGTTCCGGAGACGGGAATGGGGTCATGGTGAAAATAAGACGAAGGTACCAATTCCGTTATTATTTTATTCACTTACATGCACTTACGCCAAATATGAATCGACGTTCAATGTATAACAATCGTATCATGTCGCATCATGTCGTATCATGTCGTATAACATTCGTATAGATAAATGTCACCCATAAAAACATAACATGTACATACAAAAATGCAGAAGTTTCACAACGCAAAGAGGAAGTGTTTAAAAAAACGAAAGCTCTAAAAAGCACCTCCACTTGATGACAACTCTAGCAAAAGTTGATTTTTGCAGGAAACGAATGGACGAAAGGCAGTCATTTCCGTTCCTTTTAAAAACATATAAAAAAATGAAATTTGAAAAGTTCGAAACTTAGATATCAATACCTACAAATACGAAAAAGTAGAAATAGAATATGAGTTGTTAATTGAGTTTTGAAAACTAATTTACTTTTAAACGTGAAAGAAAACCGGAAGGGGTGTCATGGAGAAATCAAGAACGTACCGTAGCGACATGTAGTTTGATTTCGGGAACTAATGTTTTTTTTAAATACTTCTTCATTCTTCTGCCATAAAAAGTTGTGAAATTAATGTAAAACAGGTTGTTTCACTCAATCCCTGCTTTTATGTTAGTAGCTATCTAATATTTAACTAACCTAAGGCTAACCTTTGCAAATATTTTTTACCAATAGACTGAATTTTAATGAAATAAGAACTGACAATTGCTAATAATAGTAGTATTATATTAAAAGTTCTTTTTCATTCAAATTATTAATTTTTAATTATATATTTGATAAAAATATATACTTAATTATTATTTTGATCAGGGTGCCGGGGTTTAAGTGGATTTTTAAGCATTTTTCTTTAAGAATATATAATTAAGTTATGAATGACACATTCTCAAGAAATTAATTCTCTCGACTATTCTGATATACTAACTGATTGACTGACCGACAACCAACACTGACAACCTAAACTGTTATTTGTATTGATTTAATACAATTTTTATATTGTATCTGTCTGCGTGTGATGTTGTTTCCATAATATCTTAATAAGTTTCATCATCATTATCTGCCCTTCCCTATGAACGGTTAAGGAGAACGAATATTTATTTATTGTTTTCGTCACCCATTCCATGACCGACCCTTGCGAAAGTTGCTTAACAACATCGATTACGGGCCGCGGCGCTTATGAACTACGCCACTGAGTTACCGTTATATTTCTATAATCAAGGGCTTTAGCTGTGATGTTATCCAACAGTCGCCTTTATTTGGTTAAACCTTAACATGGCATTCGGATCGATTTAATTTATAACTCCACTGTCTTTCTGTCCGTTCATTTAACATGACTGTATCCCTTAAGCCGTGTATGCTGGTATAGCAAATAAGCATTGTGTCCTCGATACAAAAATAAATTAGAATATGTAATCGTAAATTTGTGCCGGTATAAACTGGATATGTTATAAAATGACATAAATTTTGAAAGGAAAATTAATTAAACATTACTAAGGCCTAGTATAGGAGTTAGAAACTTTCAAATTGGCTCAGTTACTTAAGACTATATTCAATAACAAACAAATCTTCTCTCTTTATAATGTAAGTGTAGATTAAATCGTTATTATAATCAAATCGAAAATAACGACTCTCTTTTGTCGTCAGTACAAAATCAAAAAGTATATTTTCCTGAAAAAGTGACAAAAAAAGTATCTTATTTTTTTAACGAAAAACATTGACCCAGTTTTAAAGTGAAAACAATGTTATCAAGCTCGTGGGTTGCCCGACTAAAGTGAACATTATAATGTCATGTAAAAAATGTAATTTGTCGTCATAGCACTTTCAGTCCGGCAGTCCGGTCGGTTGTAAAAGTTAAAAGTTTTATGAAATCCTCCGCGTCTGGCGTAGGGACAACACGGTGATAAACTGTGTAATGACCGGCTGTTATTATAATGAATATACATAAAGCGTTACCGTAGAAAAGGTAAAGCTGACGATCTTTACTAAAAAATAGAACCAATAAGCCTGTCATTCGAATTTAGAACTATAGGTATTAAGACCAAACCTGTAATTGAAAAAAAAAACGCGTTAAAATAAATAATTTTAATTTTTTTTCAGACCTATTCCAATACCAGCGTATGATTACAAATATTGCAGTGGAGAGATCCAATTACCATACAGTTATGATGATAAAAAATATGTACATTTAAGCTCAATTTAATCTATTTTAAATAGTTATTATCTCCCCACTGTTGGGGCCTTTAATATGGATAGAAACAAATAAAGAAAACAGGCCATTATTTACCACGCGGGTCCGTTCATATTAGAAGGTATTAATGATTATAGATACAGCTAGGATTAACGACTTAAGACCAAAAAGCGAAAGTTGCTAACTTCTGCATCGCAGACTGAACGTGTTAATTTCCCCTTCGAGTTCTTCATAATAATTTTAAACATACGCATTCTTCTTTTTATCTATACTTAGCATATTCCATCTACGCATGGTGCCATGATGACGTCTGTGATTGCTACCTCCCTAGGTAGCAATGGAAGGACATAAAAGTTTGCGCTCAAGCATCATTGGGCCACTTTTGCTGCTACCACCGGATAGAACGGACGTTCATGACATAGATATTATTTATTAGTAATTCGACATTGTTGTCATTATTTTAATTGTTGAGATTTTTGTTCAATTTCTAATTAAATTTATATTAATTGTTCTATTTTTTTATATTAAATAAACCAATTAATCTAACCTATATATATAAAAGACAAACCTGACTGACTTAAACATCAACGCACAGCCTAAACTCCTGTACCTAGAAACTTGAACTTTGGTATAGGGGTTCCTTTCATGATGTAAATGAGCGCTAAGAAAGGATTTTTAGAAATTGGAGAAGAGAGCGCGGACGAAGCCACTGGCGGACAATAAATAGAAATTTAAAAGAGATTTGTCATCAAAACGTTTTAGTTTCAGCAAAAATTAACCGAAAGTATACTTAAAAGAAAACATCGTATACGAAGTCGTAAATGTACTAGGAATATAAAATAATCACAAATCAGCGATTTCCAAATATTAACAAGTAGTGTGTAGGCGTATAGTATTTATTTTGTATTCCATTCACAGACGACGTGAGAGGGGTCCAGATTTTCAAGGAAAGGATCGATGAATAAAAATCGACTCTTCAAAGGAAACCGCCTGTTAGGATAGCCAAAAGCAATTGGAAAAACGACATGTATTTATTTCTCAGTAAATTGTGTGTGGGAACAGTAGATTGGTTCTTATACTTTAGCCATTTATAATTCACAATTAGCTTTCTGCCCGTAGGTTCACCCGCGTGGTATATCCGTTTTTGCAACATTTTTCATTGCTGCTCCAATCCTATTAATCAAAGTGTGATGTTATATAGCCTATGCCTTCCTCAATAAATTAACCATTTATCATACAAATATTTTCAATTGGAACCAGTAGTTCCGAGATAAACGCGTTAAAGCAAACAAACTTTTCAAATTTCCAATATTAATTTAGATATAAGAAACTTTAAAGTCAAATTTGTTGAAGATAATATCGCATAGAATTAGTGCCGGAGTAAGACCACTTGATGGCCTAAGCAATCCCTGGATTTGCTAAAAGTTTACACATGGACAGATCTTAATCATAGTGCCACAAATAGAGATAGATGGAGAAGTCTTGCTAAAAGCGAAACATATCAACCAACTATGATTTATTCGGGCAAAGTCACGGGAAAACGGCTATATCAAATAAACAGATTTCAACCATGACAGAAACGTGTTCAACACCTATAAAATAAGTTGTAAAAGTATTCCGATAGAAACTTTTACAGTGAGTTTCTTTTGACATAAATCCGAGAACTTTAACATAAAAAATTATTACTAAGTCATCAATCAATCGCTCACAATTTGTTTGCTCAAATATTTACATGGGCTACATGTTTTTTGCTATGTGCTATTTGTCAGTAGAAATATCGTCAGATTCTTCAAAAGTAACTTATTAGATCAGCCTTCAATATGAACGACAGCTTTGTTATTATTTAATTTGCTACAGTTTCTGCATATTTTTATGTTTGTTGTAAGTTAGTGTTATCTGAAATAATAGTTAAGATAAATAATATGCAGTAATAACAATATATATGCAAAAATAACAACCACGAGTGGTGTATCCTAAGGGAAGGGGTAAAGGACCTATTTATGTTGTGTCACCAGTCTGTAGAGTCACTCGTGCATATAACTTCTGGATGTACTGTACTGTCTAAAAACGAATATTTGACATAACCAAGCAGCCTTTTTTTATAGTTGGTGGAATGCTTAACGCATTGTCTCCTCCGCTTGACAGGTGGCAGGGGTGTGTGGGACTCTTGAAGGCTATTCAAAACGCGAATGGCATACCCATTAATCCGTGCACCCTCTCTTTTAAGGAAGATCTCGTTCATATTCTACACCTCGAATTAGGCTTCAAGTATGTCCTTATAGGTGAAAAGTACCGTGTTACAAGTAAGTATTAGAGGCAGTGCTCGAAAACGATTGTACTTGACTATACTGGGACCGGTCTATCATTTACAAAAGACAGTTTTTGCCAGCAAGCCTGACATTGTACTGATAGACTGGGCTGAGTCACGTGTATTCTTAGTGGTCGTTACTATCCTTTTCGACTAAAACCTAATAAAAGCAGAATCAAATAAAACAGTGAAATGTCTGAACTATGTGCACGATGATATCTGGCATGAGACGTCTATTAAGATCATATCAGAAGTTTCGTTCGACAAACAATTTATTAGCACTTGAGATTTCAAAAACAGCGAGTTTTTAGCTGGTTTTTATATCTATAGAGTGTTGTGCCAAATTAAACGTAAAGAATTGCGAGTATAGTTTATGTAGAATGTAGCGAAAAATTATTCTAAACGTTGGATGTCGATCTATGAAACTTTTATATTAGGTGTTATACTTACGTAAGTGCTGAGTCCTGCCAGTGGAACACCGTTGGCGGATAGCAGGAGGTCTCTAGGTGCCAACCGGCCAGTACGCCAAGCCGGCTGTGGGGGATACAGTCTCCGTATCCTGACTAGTCCACCGCCCCCGCAGACTGACATGCCGAGACCACGACCGTCTTTCTCTACTACTACTGTGAACGTGTTTTCTGTGGACAAATGCATTTATTAATGAAAGAAGTTAAATAATCACAAACAGGGGATGAGTCATAACAAATTTGTTCTGAATAATAATATCAAATTTCAATGGAAAACATGAATTATCATAACACGAAATCCTCTAAAGCGTCACGATTCCGAGATATGAATGTATCAAAATTGTTGTGTTTGAATGTTTATTGAAATATCAATTTAATCTTACTCATTGAAATGTTGTAAATACAACTAGACCAATAAGCAGCGATTCTTATCTTTGCTGTCGGTTGAATAGAGCTAAACATTAGCTTATATAAAATTGTGTATAGCAGATATTTGATAACATTTAGTACAGGAAGAAGGTAAATTCAAGGAGGCACTTTTTCGTCTCTGTGTTGGATCTGGCGTGAATATATAAATAGATATATTTGTGTTTATTTTAAACATACTCCTTTATGCCTAATATTGCTTTGATCCTTTGATTATATCATATGATCAAAGCTTTGATTTATACGTTTGACTTGTCACGTAGCAACGACATTAAACTATATATAGGTACTGTCTGATTATTTATTACTTATACGTCAATAGATTGTACGAGGGTTTAATTTTATATACTTAAAATATGATATTCAGTATAGTAACAGAACCCGAAATCTCTCTGTCACGCAGCCACTTCAAATTAGTGATGTGCTGGGTCGTTAAAAATATACATATACCTGCGGCTACGTATCTTTACGATAGTTGACGTCACGTCCGCCACAATGTCAGGATATAATTTCGACTGAAGGTACCAGAGATTTGATTTTAAGAAATAAAAAATACTACTGAATAAAATTAAATATAGCATTTCATCCTGTAATAACCCCGAAATCGGGTGAGTGTTCTATTCATTTAATTTTTGCTGCTCGCTTATAAGTTTATTACCTTAGAGTATTTTATTTTTAAAATCACAAGTCCAATAAGTAACTTTTAAATTCTAAATCTGTTTCGCTGTTTTATAATGTTTATTCATTGTTCATTGAATATTATTACTGAGGTAAAAATCCAGTTCTTAACCTAATGTTTGATAATATTTTTATTCTATTTCGATAAAGGTGAAATAGATATTTAAGGAAAGAAGTATTATAAAATTGTTGCTATACTTAAAGTAAACATTCATAAAACAATATATTGAAACAGAACGGAGTTCTGAGACTATGCAAAATTAACATTTTATTATTTTTCTACCCTACAGATTTCATATTTAATTTTGTCTGCTAAATTAAATATATAATTAAATATAATCGATACATTGTCCGAATGCTAGTTATTTCAGTTTCAATTCGTGATTTGTTTCCATCTCAGGTTCGATTCCCGGGTTGTGCTATAAATAATTTTGATAACCTTGAAATTTAGATGATTTTAAAGGGAACACTTAGTGTTTTCATTTTACTTGAAGTACGGGTTCGATTCCCGTATAATATAATATATTAGTAATTGAATTTTTTAACTTACAGATTATTATCATAGTATCTGTTATTTTAACTTCATTCTAAATGATTTTTGATATCATTTGAAACACACGTTTTTATATTTTTTTAGCCGGTAGATTTTTACAGAAGCTATAGCAAATGCAGCTAACTTAATTTTTCCAGGCCACAGGTAGCTGCACTTTTTGAATTTCTATTTAGTGCTGTATTTATGTTACAGGGTTTCTACTGCTAGTTTCTACTGCTGTTTCTACTGCTGCTTCTACTGCTAGTTTCTACTGCTAGTTCTACTTCTTCATCAACTCCAGTCCTCCGGAGCTTCGTGGACCTTCGGTGCTGCTGACCGGAGCTGACGTCGGGTCTACACCCTTCTCAGCCTCTGCCCGGCCCGTGACGCCGAACCCGCGAAGTCCTCACTAATTGCAAAACTTAAAAGCTAAGTCCTCCCCTCGTAATTATAGAAACAAGAACCATAACGAGCGAATATCTTAACCTACCCCCTGAGAACTAAAATAAAGATTGTTAAACTTTAATATTACTTTTATTCTTTATACCTGAAGCCTGGGGGTGCTTCACACCCCCCATCTACAACACAAACGCTTCAGTGGCCGTGGCAGTATCCTGAAAAAAGTAACGGATACGGTATATACGTATTTTATCTTTATTCTTTTTTAGGTAGATACAGATATACAGATATACAGATATCCGCCCTACTACTTAAAATCTAGACAAGTTAACGAATACTTATCAATCGCCTTTTTTATGAAAAGACAGATGACGAATGTATTTATTTCGGTTCCAGATCAGCAGAGCGATTCTGTAAAAATTCACACCTGAATCCGAATACACTCATGTGTCCGAATTTAGGTAATTTTTTGTAGAAATTGTACCTATTCCATTTTTGATATAAAAATACAATACAATGTCATTTCGAAACTTATTTCACTTATGCCACGAAACGTTATAACCAATTCAAGGTTAAGTCGATGCCGCTTTTGAAGTGGATTCGGACACCTGAATGAATTCGAATATGGTTCGGATTTTTTCAGACTCGCAGAGCTGCAAGGAAGGCTATAAAGGCAATATAATATCGGTAATAAAGGAGACGACGTCACTGCAACAATAACAATTTTACAACTTATTTACGTGTTATGACATATCTACGTCTACGTACGTACTCGTTTATATTCGCATTGGTTATGAGATTAGTAAAATATATCTTTTGACTGTTGGGTGAATTCAACATCGATGAAAACGCGCTTACTAGTAGCGAAAAGTAATATCTGCTTAAGAAATTAGTAAGTGTTTTTGGATCTCGGGTAGCTCAATTGTTAGAGCAGTCACCCGGATTGCGAAAGTTTGCGGGTTCAAGTCCTGTCTCGGGGTGATTGGTGAATTTTTCCAGCAATTTTAAGATATGTCATGTATTTTAAATGTTTAATTACTAAATTTTACTGTTATTATTAAATTGCTAGCATATTCTCATGTATTTTAAATATTTCGAGTAAGTTTCGAGTATAAATGTTGACATATAAATATCGGATATTCTAATAAACCATTAGACAAACTATGTTCAATCGTTCTTAATTAAAATATCAGATTTCAATATTATAAATGAATAGAGCAGACAAGTGTCTATTCACGGTCAATTTAAGACCCTCTTCGGCTAGTAAAGGTCGTAGAGGGCGTCTACTATGAATTATACATTACCAACTCCATAGCAACTGCAGACCAATCGCCTATCATCCAGCGAATCACAATTGTTTTAGTAACTCAACTGAGAAGAGCTTTGTGCCGTATAATATTTATACGGAATGTATAAACTTGACTTTATTATAGACAGTGGCGGACTAGGGAGGGGGCGGACGTGGCGGTCCTCCTCGGATCTCGGGTCCTGAGGGGCCTCCAAATGTCTACAAATTCCCTTGATCAAAAGAACAGCTGACAACAGACCCAGGCCTGATACCGCCCCGGGTCACTAATGGGGTTAGTCCGCCACTGCTCTAGCTGTTTTCCCTCTACTTTTTCTGCGTAAATTGTAGCCCCTATCACGTGCGTATGATGTAGCTTTAGCTAGGAGAAAGCTTTTAAAAATCATTCCCGTAGTTAAGGAGCCTATACAATTCAAACAAGCAATCAGTCTTTCTCCTTTATTATATACATAATAGATTTGTAATAAATATACATACTTAATATTATGGAGCACAGCGGCGCGATGTTTCATCTACCCGTTACTAGATGGGATTATGTGTCATTTGAAACTTCATGTGTCATATAGGTATAAGGCGTGTGAGAAAGGGACAGTCACTGGGGAAGAAAAGAATGGGTAGCCGTCTAGAACTTTTTAGTAACACTTCGAATACACTGGTAGGGCCGAGGCTAATCTAAAATGTTGTAGGTCTAGGGATGTGACATTGTGTATATAAAAATTGTATTTAAGTTACATCACTTAGATAAATCAATAATCCATTTTTCTGCAGAAACTAATCGTTTTTCCTTTTAGTCGTAGACATTGTTAAAAATGAGCCTTTAAATTAAAAAGTCTAAAAAGGGACATTGACATAGGGATGTAGACATTTATATTAAAATTTTTATTTAATAGATATATATGAAATATATTATTCGTTTAATAAGTTTAAAATCTGAAAATAAATTTAGCTTTCAAAATTTCCCACAAAAATGACATATATATATAATAAAGTGCTGATATAAGTAAGAGGGGCGTAAGATCGAGAGAAAAAAAAATGGATTTATTTTCGTTTCCTGTCTACACCCGTACTGTAGTTTGAAAAATAAAGTTTCACCAATGAATAATGAATGACATAAATAGCAACCAAATGTCGGTAAAAGAATACAGTTCGTTGACTCCATCTAGTAAATTAAATGAATGTGTTTTTACAACACAAGAGTGTTTCTACAATACAAATTAAACTGTTTCTAAAATACAGAAGGAATGCCATCATAGATGCACAGATGGCGTTAATGTAATATTATGTAGATAGTATTCCTTGACAATTCGCGTTCCAGGCTCCGGGCCAAAATACCAAACTTAATGTCGGGGATGAAAAATCGGTAATTATTGACTGAATGATTATATAAAAAATCGATTGTTAAACGATTATTTATATAGATAAAATTAGGTACTAAAATCGATTTCTACTTTCAGAAATACAGTTATTTCTATAATCGATTATTTTTTCACATTCCTATGTTAATTCTAACCTAACATTCTAGATGAATTGAAATGAAAAGAAAATATCTTTATTCAAGTTATTACAAGCACTTTTGAATCGTCCAAAAAAATATTTTTTCCTACCACTTGTTCAGGACGTCTTTTAGCTGACAAGAAGAACAAGCGAAAGAAACTTACCAGCATCATAAGATGTGATATTGATTCCTATAAATACGCGGTGGGCTAGCCGTCTCGGCATTCTTTCAATGACCACTGAAATGAATACGGGAGTGATCTATCGGAACGATAGAATAGTGTTGTGAAATGACAGTAGTGACGTGAATTGTGAAGTCGAAGAAGTGTGTTTTTTTTTGTTGAATTCTTTTCGCAATTTTATTAAGTAAAGTCGGATTGTGAATTTAATTGGCGTTGATTTTCATCCTGAACCCTGAGATCCCTAAGTCGTAACATTTTTAAGCAGTGAATTTTATCTGAAACCATCTTTCGTTTCAGATAAACCTTTTTTTATAAGTATTATTCAATTCGATTCCATTCTTAAGGAAGGCCTGGGTTTCAGCAGGTTCATTATAAGCTTATGTACCAACTATCAAGGTCGCAAAGGAGCAGGATTTTCTAAAAAAAGAAATAGTTTCTGGTATTTTGTTGTTGTATTTATTTATCCTTGTCAAATTGTTATTTTAAGTATTCATATCTTCATAAATTATTGAATTTTATTCTTCTAATATTTATTTAAACTTAATAGGAAGTCATCATACCTATACCGTTACTATCCATATAAAGTGGCCCTGCCAGAAACATATTGTCATATATCGAGATATCGATTAAAACGATATAAATTCTTTCATATAAAGCGGATCCAATTTGCAATATAATCAAACAACCCTATCAAACCTAAACTTGTTAGGACGAATGTTTTGACGGGTCTTGATTTATGCTTTCATTGTAATTGTTCGTTGACGCAATGTTACCCTAATGTGTAATCACAACTAATGAAAGTTTAATCTGCTGGCACAGAGTAAGTCAATTTTAATCTGTGGTTTTATAATCTCTTATAGTATAATGGAGGAATGATAATCAAATGAGAATATCGTGATTGACGTTACCAGTGGGTTTATTATCTATATTATTTTGGCATCAAATAGTTTACAATAATAAAATTATAAAAACAATCATCATAAGCCATTAATGTTCCTACGGATCGGCTCAGGTTTTCCCTATGGGTGGAATCGAATCTAATAAAAACAATTTGGTAGAAGAATTGTAGAGCCTTTTTTTATTAGAGAATAATCAACTTTTACATAACGATACGCGATCAAATAAATATTTTTTTTTAACAGATGCAACTTCATGAAAGCTCACTTAAATTAAAGTGATTATTGTAGAACATAAATGAATTAATGTGAATTGGTATAACATTTCAAAATGTGTTGATCGTGTCGATGTACAGTTAAAGACAAGATTAAAAGAAAATATATGGTTAAAATTTTTAATTTATTTTTTTAAGGAATTAAGAGAAATCAAAGTAGTTAATCTATGGTGGCGCGTCTTTATCTTTAGTATACTGATGGTCTACTGTTTAACTAATTAGACTTCATATAAATGTTATTTAATTCGATCTTAATACTTTTAACATTCAATAGCGATGACGACTGGGTTTAAAAAATGCAATTCTTTTTAGTCCGTCAGTTAGATAATAGAAAAATATTAGATACGTAATTTTTTTTATATCAATTTAACAAGAAATAGCTTAGATAACAGGCATTAAAGTTGAGGGGTGGGGGCTCGTTACGTTACAGTTGAGTAGAAAACGTGACGTCATTCGAAATTTCAACTCCATGTAACGCCGTAATTTTATGATTACGAAAAAAAATAAAAAAATACGTGTTTAATATTTTTTAACACTCTACCTGACGGACAAACAAACAAAAATTAGTCATCATCCCTATTAAAATGGAACAGTTTTAATACGTAATATGGTTTGTGTACGATGGCATCCATAAAGAGTATTAATTAGGTGACTCTAAAATGTGAAATCGCAGCAATCAAATTGTAACGAACGATTAAGGTTAAGATTTAAAACAAAATGGAAATTGGAAAATAGTCAGTTTTGTATTGTTTCGCTTTATTTACTTCTAAAGTAGGTAAACATAGTGTATAGTCACATACTCAAAACTACTCAGTTATGTGATTGTGATATGCGTACCTACACAGATACTTTCGTATTTGTGTCAATATATGTGTCTGTGCATACTGCGTGCCATATTTTTAACCTACTTCAAATTCTGTTTTTTTTTTTCTGTTTGTTACCTCTTTTAACTTTTTACTGGGTGGACCCATTTTGATGATTCTTTCTTTATTTGAAGAGCTAGTGCTTGTATTACCTATATAATGGCATTTATGAGAAACCATATAAATCATAAATTTGCATTATGTGTTGCGTTATGTTTGTCACCCCAAAACTCAAAATATCACTAAAATGCATGAAATACAAACTTAAAAAAAAAAAACAATGGAACCACCTCCAAATTTAAAAAAGCGAAAAATAATACTTATTTTAAAAGCGGTTTATATTTAATCAACTACAGAAAATTTTGATTACAATGTTTCTTTAAAAAATTTACCGCTTTTAAGGTAAGTATTATTTTTCACTTTTTTTAATTAGAACACGATTATTTTTTTTTACTTTATGGCAAGTATCGAGTGGAGTAAGGTTTGGCAACAGAGTAAATGTTGGTATCAATGGCTTATTATATATACGTGACTTTGTACTTAATCAAACTGTTATTACGAATAAAAGGTGAATGTCCTCTTAAGACAACATCCGGGACTGTTGGCTTCTCAAACATAGAGGTGCTTGATATAATCATTGTTAGTCATTCATCTGATGACTTTTTTAGTTTCTGGGTCGAAAAAGTTAACGTTATTTTTGGGCCATCAGGATTTATAACACATCAGACTTTTTCCAATCCAAAAAAAAAATTAAATAAACTGTTATTTTGATCAATTTTGCGTTCAAATTGCTATACTAAAATTATCTTAATTTTAAGGTCGATTTTTTAAACATGTTTTATTAAGAATATTCAAAAAAATATCTCAAATAAAATAACCAAATCTTTCTGACGTAACAGTTAAGCTGTAAACCTCAATCACAGTTAAGTTCTACAATATCAACTAAAAAAAATCTAAACAAAAATAAACATAATTTAAAATGGTGTGGAAATTCTGCACTTCTAACTTTATACTAAGTAATCAAATGAAAATTAACCTTAATCAACTTCCGTTGCTGTTCATTTTATAAATAAATTAACTTCCTGTTCATCAAAGGGATTGGCAAAAATACTATTAATTTTCAAAGTAGTCGACGCGCCGCGGCGCCGCCGCCGGGTCGAATAATATGTTTGTTTGAAAGGGACCAACTTAGTTTCGAACATAAAGCGGAGTTAATTTATCAGATGAGGATAGTTTTGCGTTAAAACTTTACCGTATAATACTACGTTAGCTGTAATAGAAACCCGTAGGGTTATTAACATAAATACCGCTTATAATATTCACGGTAAAACTCTATTCAAAACATGCCTAAGCATGAAGTTAAATTATATTAGGTCCTTAGATATGAATTTGCGGCTTTCTGTAGAGATTTAAATTTCTGTAGGAATTTTATTTGTAAATTATTGAAATTTAAAGTGTTATTTGGGATATAACAGAAATATAAAATTGAAAAATAATAACACTTAATAATAAAATAATGAAACAAAATTAATATCTAGAAAAAAAATCCGAACCACTATTTTGTTTTCTGTAAAGTATATAAAATAATACACTATCAGCTAGTTGCACAAACGTCCATTAAAATTTTCATTAGTTTAAAGGGGCATTACCCATACAAAGAGTTTAGCCGGATACGTATGACGAGTCGGCCCCCAAATGGGAATCGATATTGAAACTTATGTTTTAATATAGACTTGATGTTCAAACACGATTTATGTACTTTTCGCGACCGACTTCCGCTTTGACCTTGAGATAGAGAGCAAAATATCCGTATGCTTGACTATTACTGAATGTGATATATCTCTGAAGCTAATTAAGATAAAGAAGTGAAACTAACGCGAGGTGTTAGGTTATATTACAGAGTATATTACATATATTTTTTTATAATTTTTAGAATAAAAAATTACATTAAAAAAATAAAAAATAAAAAAATCATGTTTTTTTTTCTGAGTTCTCTGTGACTTACAATCACGAAATTTATATATGTTATGCTCCTTTGTGTGCTCTATCACCCATAAAAATTGCGTGAAAAAAAAGTTGGTGCAACACAACGAAAAAAAATTATATGTGATTCGCGCCTTGTAGTGCGAGTGTATAAACAAACAAGTTCGAACTTGTTATCGCGCTGTTTACTGCATCGTTTGTTTAGCTAAAGTCGCAGTCATTTGTATTACACAAGAAGGCAGTTTGGGACTCAAATTCTGTCATAGGTATTTTGTGTCAGCATTTTGAAATTATTAACTATCGAACCAAATCATTATTAAGTAATAATGTCGAGAAAGTGTAAAAATTGTAACAAGTACCTGTGTAAGATTCCTGGTTATAAAAAAATTATAAAGAATGAAGAAGAAGCTAAAGTGTTTAGTGACTGTTTGAATAAAATCGTAATAGTTAATGATATTTTTTGTAAGAAGTGTCGACTTATCCCATATATTAACAAAAAAGCTTCTACTTCTAAATGTGCAGCATTTAACTTGGCCGAAATAATGGACGATCAAAATAATCTCTCAGTATGTGAAATCAGCACCTAATATCATCAAAGCAGAAGTAAAATCAAGACATATAAATAGAAAAGTCTATCGATTTACATTCACTCTATTTCCGAAGGTAATGACTACAATAGTATTCTTCGTTATTGCTGTGATTGCCCCAATGGCAAACGTACAGTGGGATGCTGTTCTCATGTAGCAGCTATTGTTTATTATCTATCATATGGATGATATTTGTCCAAAATCGTACGTCCTGCTGAGGTCCTAACTAAGTTATTTGCGACTCAAAGTGTTCCGATTGTAATTAATTACAAGTGACGATGATTAATATTTTGTTTCTTGTATTTTGATTGACACGAAAAAGTAATAATAATAAGTATTGAACACTGGCTGTTTTTTTTTTTCATTTCTTTTTTAACTATTATCTCATCTCTTAAGACTATTTACTTATGTTTTAAAACAAGCTGATGTGAAATTTCGA